GTTACCCAATCTATCTGGTTTCTTTGAGAGCAGACAGGGTTACCAAATCTATCTGGTTTCTGTAACAGCAGACAGGGTTACCTAATCTATCTGGTTTCTGTTTCAGAAGACAGGGATACCCAATCTATCTGGTTTCTATGAGAGCAGACAGGGTTACCCAACCTATCTGGTTTCTATGACAGCAGACAGGGTTACCCAATCTATCTGGTTTCTGTGACAGCAGACAGGGTTACCCAATCTATCTGGTGTCCCCATGTTAAACCCATCCATTACATTTACTGGATATTTTTCCGACTTTGTTCAGTGGTAGTCCTAAGTATTAATCACGTATATGTAACTTGAGATAAATAATAATATTGGTAAATACATAATAAAATCTCAACTTACATGTAGGGAGTGGTTCTAAACCTGACATTTCTGGTTAAAAAGCTTTCAATTGACCATAATATAAACTATAAATGTTAATTTAAACAAAATACTGTCACCTTCAGGGCCTTAATACTACCTGGCAAAGAAGTGTAAAGTATCTCAGCCAATAGCCAATCGTGTCAATCATGCTGAGCTCTGAATAGCTCCAAATACCAAACACCCTCCAAAAACAAGGGGAACACTTGGTGAAGAGAAGAACGCTAATTGTGTCATATGTTTGTAACCAACAAAGTGCACATGTACAGGTGTTTTGTATAAAAAAAAAAAACATTTAAAAAAGTGTGGCATTTTATGCATCTGTTATTCTCATTTGATTTTTAAAGAATTTCATTCAACATTTGAAAGCTTTTTAACTTACACTGCCATTGTTCATGTTCAACATTCCCCTTTGTTAAAAAGTTGTCTTTCAACGATTCTGAGTAGGCTGATATCTTTTTTATAACCGTATACATGTACTAATTTTAGATTCATCTAATAGGAATGGTATGCATGGATGAAAGGTACTTATTTGTGTATGTTCAGAACTTTTTGGTTATTGAAGGAGTGCTATCTGATGTTTTAAAGCACAGCTTCACCATTTTGTTGTTTGTATAATATATCTGAATTGTTTGATCTATTCACAAAACTGTATATTATCAACTGGTGTTACATATCACCAGACTGCACACTAATTTGTCAATCATAATTTACCAATAACTATTAAAACATACCTGTCTGGTCGGACACACCTTACGATTAGCTTGTGACCGACTTTAGTGACTCTCAGCTGTTTGATTGGGTTTTAACCTTATCACCAGATGACATTTGCTGGACAAATATTCCTGTAATCCCACCAACAAAACGACTATAGTCTTCTCCTCAAACTCATCATGTAGCAGATACAAATATATATCATCTTTAATGTTTATCATGTCCAAAAGTTTTTGAAAAATATTGTCATGTGTTATAATTAGATATTGCAGAGTGTGTATATGACTTATATGGGATATGGCACAAACTGACTGCTACCTTGTAAGTATTCTCCATGCATTCTACAAAAGCTAATAGTGTAAAGGTTATGCATGCGTACAAGTGATAGACTATCTTGTCTATGTAACAATAGCCGTAAATAGACACAATGCCATGTGATAACGTTACTTATTTCCTGTTTATTGCTTTCACAATCACTTTGTTCAGTATAGGTAATTAATATACCTGTATTGGGAAGTTATTTTACTTCTTTTAATTCTACATCTATTCTGCATTATATAATGAGTTTTTCTGAATATTATAATTGTTTCTAATATTGGTCTACCTACAGCTAGTCTGTTACAGGGTAAACTTCCATTGATATACAAGCATGACATTCCCTAGTTAATAAATAAATGGTGAAACATTGCCAGCAGTTACAAACCTTATGTCTGTCAATGAGTAGGTGACAACTTAAACATGAGTCAAATAAATTGAACATAAAATGAAGAAGAATGAGTTGTTATCATTGAATTCTACGACCTTATTCCCTCCACCATGTCGCCTATCATTAACCAATGACATTTTTTGATAAAAAAACATAAAAATCTACACGTTTCTAAAACTGTTTAAATGGGGATAAAATGTGTTCAAATATATTAAAAGCTATAAATAGATAAAACAGACATGCTTTTAGAGTCAGGGTATCATCAAGCTGTATAAAGTGGGATGTAGTTTGAAAGCAGTAATGTGTACATTATGAAGAGCTCCTTGATGGCAAAATGAGGCTAGGACAGCTCCTTGATAGTAAAATGAGGCTAGGATAGCTCCTTGATGGTAAGATGAGGCTAGGATAGCTCCTTGATAGTAAGATGAGGGAAGGACAGCTCCTTGATAGTAAGATGAGGCTAGGACAGCTCCTTGATAGTAAGATGAGG